AATAATTTTATTTAATTAGTAAATCTTTAGATTTAAAATTCAAATATGTTATTAAAATAATTTAAAAGTGCAATACACATCGACTAATTAAATGTATAAAAAAATATCTCTAAAACATATCTTTAGTAAAATAATTCTCCCAAATTAATCATAACTTTGAGAATTATTTAAAACGTTGGCATGCTATAATATTGGTCAATATATTCAACTATTTTGGATTGCCAATATAATGTAGTTAATAATAAAAAAAATTTAAGTTCTTAATAAAAAAAGTATTTAAGTTTAAATTTGGAATTTTAAGCTGGATAAATTAAAATTTTTATATACGATAATTATAAAATATTATCAATTTTAATTTGAATTTTCAGCCATGTATATATTATAATAATTAAAAAAGTGGAATACATTAACTTCTCTTCTAATTTACTTTCATTAAATATACATCCTTTTTATTTTTTAAACATGCACGAACTTTTTTTATAATTAATAATTTCATAACAAAAACCTCCTTTTATTTTAAAATTTTCATTTCTATTCACTAAATTATTAATTTATCATTAAGTCATATATTGGATCAAAATAGTATATTTAAATGTAGATGGTATGTAGCAATCATTAAATATGTCTAAAAAAAGTTTAATGCACATATTTTTTTAAACATTTTAATCATATTTTAAACTTTTTAGTTTTGAAAACTTATTTCTTTAATTATTTTTTAAAATATAAATACACAAGTTATCTAAAACAATATTTTAAACATGTATATGCAAAAAGGTTAATGAAATAGAGAAGTAATGCATAATGAGAATAAATTAGTCAATATAATTTATGCTTTCTTTTCTTTAAATTTTATTAGTTCGATCACAAAATTTCCAAATTATTTATTTTAAAATTTTCACATTTAATTATTTAAAGTTCCTTAACTTGAGTAGGGGAGAGAATGTACAAATACATTACAAGAAAAAATTAATACTTTTAAGTTTTTTAATATAATTAAAATGTAGAAATTAAATTATTTTAAAATTTTTAATTGAATATTCCTAATGGGGCTAAAAATTGGACTAAAGTGTAGGTTTCAAAATCAAAAGGGAGATTTGTGTAATTTTAGGAAAATGGAGGGAGAAGATTGTATTTTACTCTAATTAAAATCAATGGTATTGGCTACCATTTTATTCTAGCCATATATTATAATAATCAAATAAGGAAGATTAATTTAATTAGATGTTGGAACAAAATGATAAAGATTGGAAGAGGAAGGATTGAATAATTAAACAATAAAAAATTTGTAAAATAAAAAATTATAAGTGAGTTAACTTGCAGGTTGGCAGGCTTAGATTAAATGGTGCGAGCCTAAACTAGTCAATATCTAATTGAGGTCCAAATTATGTAACCCAACTTGTCACTTTTTGGCAAGGTTCAACCCACAAACTTGACTTATATTATCAGCTCTAATTGAAATTGAAAAAATACTATAGTGTAATGAAAAAAGTTCCAAAGACTACAAGCTTATACTTTTACTTGACATGTCAAGTTTGGATGCAAGTGAAAATAAATTAATAAAAAATGAGCTAAATTATAATAGGGTTGTATTATATGATGAATTGATAAGATTGCTTTAGAACCTAACTTTTGAAAAAAAAAAAGAATATTTATGACGATGCTGTTGAATTTGATGAAGAGGATTTTTTTTCATGTATGGATATGGTAGTGTTAGGAAGACATATGTTTGAAGGACACTTTTTACTTCATTAAGATCTAAAGGCAAAATAGTTCTTAATATAACATTAAGTCGGATAGCTTACCAGGACAACATACAATTCACTCAAATTTTGTTTCCTCTTTCTACGACTGAAGACACTATACGTAGTATGAAATATGGGAGCAACTTGGTTGAATTATTTGTTCACATATCATTGATCATATGAGATAAGGCTCTAATAATACACAAGTTTTGTCTTAAAGCTCTTGACAGATGCTTAAAGAATATTTTAAAATTAAGTAGCCAATTAACTGGTGATATTTTCTTAAAAAGAAAAGTTGCTATGTTTGGTAGAGACTTGAGGCAAATTTGACCTTCCAGTTATTCTAGATGGGTCAAGAGAAGACATTATTTTTGTAACCATTAATTTTTTATTTTGGGACAATTGTCAACTTTTTGACACTAACAATAGACATGAGACTTCTATGAACAAATAATGGAATATCTATTAATGCTTTTTAAAATTTTACTAATTAGATTATCTCAATTGGTGATGAAACAGCTATTGAAGCTAATGAAGAATTTATGAATATTAAGATCCTAGATGATTTGTTACAAGATGGTTAAGATAATCATAAAGTCTATTGTTAATTCAACTTTCTCAATTTTCCTTACCAATATATATATTTCTTCATATTTTAGAAATAGGGTTGTATTAGCTCATTTGTAGGTTGTGATTGAAGAAATAAACAAGTACATGTTATCTTTATTTTCTGAGAGAAAGTTGTGTACATGAGCTTTGATAGTGTTATTAAACATGTTGGAAATATGAATTTACTTAGTGATTTGCATTCCACACATTTTCTAAATTAAATTACAATGTCAAACCTCCTGAATTATAAAATTAGGCTTAAAGTGGGTGCCTCAATTTTAATGCGAACTGAAACATTGAGAAGTTTATAAGTTGTGCAATGATACACGACTTATAGTTACACGAGCTAAGAAATATGTTATTGAAGCCTAATAAATGTTTGGATCATCTATAAGAATGAAAGTATATATATCAGGTATTATTATGTGTCTATCTAATTTAAGATTGTCATTTATTATGAGAACGAAGCAGTTTCTCATTATGTTAGTCTTTGCAGTTTCCATTAATAAGAGTTAGGATTTGATTCTGTGTTATATTAGTTTGTACATAATTCATCCTGTTTTCACCAATGACCAATTATATGTTATTTTTCATGTTCGAAATATGGAGAGTCTAAAAATATTAGTTTTTGATGATGATAATCATTATAGAGATATAACTTTTAATGTTTGTTTATAAGGATGTATTTAATAATTTGATTTAAATAATAATAAAAATTTGTTAATTTACCTCCCATCATATCCATTTACACAATATGTATTTAGTTTTTACCATTTGCTTTATTTGAATATATATATATATATATATATATAATGCTAATGATTATAATTATACAGCTTTACTGCATATATGATTATATATATATATATAGATAAAATATCTTTTACAAGTTATTCTTTTAAACTTATTTATAAAAATTATAATATAAAACCCATGCATTGCACAGATAATTTACTAATATTAGATAAAAGATAATGCAGTAGGTTTAGGGTGTGTATATAAATAATTTCTTTTCGTTTTTTCACTTTTTTGGTACCCTCTTTTTTTCTCTTAATTAACAAAAGATTATAAAATTTTAACTTCAACACAAATGCGTTTTTTTTTAATCCTTTCTTGGTCCTATTTTCATAATAATCTGTTTAAGGAATATGCTTCAATCTAGTTCTCCTCCTGTGTGACGGATGTGCAAATAATGTAAACATTCAAAGTTTTAAAATAAACGATAAAAATATCCACGGTCAAGATTTAATTTTACTGATACGCTTTAAATTTATACCTTGCCCATTAAAAAAAAAAAAAAGGCTCCCCAGATGGGTTCTATGTTATTTCTCAACTGTCCCCTAGCATTTATACATTTTTGTTCCTTGGACATTTGTCAAGTGGGTGATTGATATAGGAAGAACAATGAAATAAAAGTTAACTAATGAAAATTGGGTTTAGGGAAAGGGCCAATTTCTCACAGAGAAAATTGGTATTTGAATTCTCTTTAAAAAATATCTTTATATTTAATATTTAACAATATTTTGAATAAAATTACTTTTAATAAAAAAGTATTTGTAGGAAACTTAAAAAAAAAAAAGTTTAACCTTTTAGTTCATTATATGATATAGGGCATAGTCCCATTGCCCATGATTTTTTTGGTCTTTCTGGCCCAATATCACATGCCTTGTGGCCCATTCTTATTAAACTGGATCTAGTAAAGCCTAAAAGGTGTTTGACATGAATTGTTTTTATTTTTTTCTTAGGACAACTAATATTTAATTTAATAACCAATTGATATTTGCTCATGGCAGCATGTATTGTGATTAGGATATCTTCAGTTTAAGTTTGTGTGAATGCAAACAATATTTTTAAAAATATTACCTCCAATTAAACTGGCCAATACTTAAATTTGACCTAATTAATAAGTAATAATAGTCTAATGTAAATTATTAAAAGAAGGGACTGAATATGTTGTATTTAGTGGAAGGGTCTTTCATAATGTAGTAAACTAAAGTTTGAAATCATGTTAGGAAGGGTCCCCAATTATACATTGAACAATATTGTTTTCAATAGGAGGAACTCATGCATAGCCAAAAAAAAAGAGATAAAAACAAGAGGTATTTTAAGAAAATCAATACACACTTCTTTTAAAAAAATAATTAACTTGCCTAATTTTCTTAATTCATGTAAATTAATTAACTAGCTCCTATACGAATGAAAAGTTAGAATAGTATTTTCAAGTTAGTAAAACAGTAATATTTTTAAATTTTTAAACTACTCTCAATAAAATTCATTAATTATGATTAGGTTGTTTTGTTACTAAAAAAATCAAATTAAAAGATATTTAAGCAAAAATTAATTTTTGGAACAATTACATACATATATCAACCACAACAAATTAATTACTCCCGAATCCCGGCCACTTGTAAACATGGATGGTTAACATGTAAATTTAAAAGTTTAGCAAACTGAATAAATAACTAATTTTTTTATTTGGGATTTGATTATAATTCTCTAATTTTTTTTAACAAAGAATATTATACTAAATGGCATATGGAGATGTTTTTAGCAAAAATCGAAAAGCTTTTCTCCTCACTTTAGATCAGGTACACATGTTGTAGAGTTCTCCTCCTTAAGATATGATTACAAATAACAATATCATCATCATCATCATCATCATCATCAAAACGACAGCTATAAGCCAATGCCATTTCCGTAGTGAGGATTGGAGTACTGACTAAGATGGGGAGGTGAGGGCATAAGCGCGTTATCCTGCTGTCTCCCATTAATCAAAGTGCAAGATCATGTCTGTCATCTTTCTTATTTTTCAATTTTCAATTTATTAATCCAACATTTCTCTAACAACCCCTCCATTTCCCCCTATTTATTTATGTAGCGTTAGGCTTCTCTGATGAACTACCTTCCCGAAATCGACACCTTAAAGAAGGACAAGCGGAAGAAGAAGAAATACCCACTCTGGATCTATCCCTCTTCCTTTACTGCAACATACTAAAAACGCTGCAAAAGAAAATAAGGAATCGGTGTTGAAAAATTTGATCTTTCATGGGGTTCAATCAGCGTTTCTGGATATCTTGTCAACTTCTGCTTGTCTTGTTAATGGGTCTCTCAGCATTTGCAATTCCTGGTAAGCTTTAGTTCTCAACTTGGGTTTAGCTCCTGTAATGTCGATTTCGATGGCTCTTCTTTGTGAGTGTTTTGATTTTGAAGAGTTCGATTTTGCTATGTGAATTCAGATAGTGCCTTCGCTTCTCAGGCACATATTGGTCGGAATCTTCTTCAGGCTAAAAAAGGTTGGTATTTTTCTTCCAATATTATTGCTTAACGGTGCACTCTCTTGGATCTACAAATTTATTTATTTTCCCAATATATGATCGTCTGGTTTATGTCACTGTTCCCTTGTTATGCCGTTCACCGATCCGCATGCTTTGTGTTACTGCTGATTCCTAAATCTTCGCTTGTAAACCCTTTGCTATTTTTGTCTTAATTATGTTTTTCTATTATTTATTTTTGCGGGCTTTCTGTCATTTCCTCATGCGTTAAGAAGATAGGAAATGTAGAGAGATTTTAAGTTGGTAACATCTGACCAGAGACCATTTACCTTATCTTGTTCTTAAAATATTTGTTTGGGTGTCCAATTCTCGGCACTTGAGTTAATCAAAATGGTTACCTTTGGAGAATGAAATAGGGTGGCTTTTTATGTGCTCACTAGTGTCACGAATGAACTAATAGATAAGATTTTTTTTAATATGCAATGGCAATGAAGAAATTCTCTATGGGCATGCCCAATTGATGCAGTGTCTGGTGTTTGTTGTTCATGGATGAATTTTTCCTGAACAACTTTAGTGGGACAGAGTGGGTTGGCCTCTTTATAGGGTTTAGCTAATGGTATCATTAGAGAAATCAGAAATCATGGACCTTGTTTGGCTAAGTTTCTTCTTCCTTGTAAGTCGTAATTCTGTAGCTCTATGTTCAAAAAGTAGCGTTACAATTTCGTATTGTAAAGCAGGGACTGGAAGAACAAATGAAGAATTGTGCTCAATTGTGCTTGCACATCAGTAGATCTAATTATTTTACTTTTATCTTTAACTGATTTTTCAGTGTAATGTGTTGTGCAAGCAGTAGTTCGGTTAAATCTATTGCTCATATCAGTTGCCTGGGATGTAGTGCAGCATATTAGCTGTGCTTAAATGCAGTCCTTACATCTAATTTTGAACTTGTGTATGTACAAATAAGATAACGGGATTGCTAGTATCATCTTATTCAGATGCAGAAAGCAAGTCCCTAATGTGGTGACTACTCGTTTCTTTTTATGTTTAGTCTTGTTACCTCATGATTCTTCACGTTATAACTCGTAAAAACATATAATTGAAAGTTGAAACCAATCTCTTTGATCCTGCATTACGTCAATGAATGTTTTTCTTGGTTACTCAGTGAAGTTGTTGAACAAGACTTTTTGGTTTAACAATATACCTAATGGTTTAGTTGTTGGTTGAGTAGAATGGCATTATGCAATTCATATAGTCAACCCTGCCTAGTGAAATTAGGCTTCTTGTTTTTGTTGTTACTCTGATAGTTATTCATTGGCTACTACTAACTGTAGCAACTATTCACTTTCTTATTCTTTCTTTCAATTGATAATGCTCTGTGTCTCACCTTGAATCTTCAGGTTGTCCTGTGAATTTCGAGTTCTTAAACTACACAATAATCACAAGCCAATGCAAAGGTCCCCGATACCCTCCCAAAATCTGTTGCGCGGCATTCAAAGAATTTGCTTGCCCTTATGCCGACGTGTTAAATGACCTGACAAATGAGTGTGCGACGACTATGTTCAGCTACATTAACATTTACGGAAAATACCCTCCTGGCCTTTTTGCTAGCGAGTGTCGTGAAGGAAAGGAAGGTCTTGCCTGCCCTGCATTACCACCATCAATGTCTGCTAGTGACACAGCTAATCAGATTATGCATTATCCATCCATGATGCTGATGCTCTCAACCGGTTTTTTGTTCTTGTTATTCCTATAATTCAAGTGCCTATTTTTTCACTATCATCTTGCACTGTATTGTTATTGTATTATCTTTGACAATTCTTTGACACATCAGGTTCTCTATCATATTCCTTTATTTGCACCATCAAGATTATGCTGGAGCTAAAAATGTGTAGGATACCATAGATTAGTCTCTGCCTCATTCCTGATTTTACTGCTAAATGTAGTGTAAGTCTCTATTTTATTTGAGTGAGTGTTTTGGTTCCAACGCTCTTGAGCTTGTAGACACTGCAAAGAGGATTTATTCTACATTTTACAATGGTTTCCCTTGTTGTGGTCGTGATAAAAGCATGCGTGAGTGACTAAACTGTGTTTATTCTTGGAAAATGCTTGTATCTTTGTTCGAATTTTGTTCTTAGCTTGACAGTTAACACCACCTAAAAAGACAGCTCAATGCATCAAGTCCCCGCCATATGTGGGGTCTAAGGAGGTAATTAAGTCATTCTAAGGTTTTGCGATAAACTACAGCATGCTGAAAAAAATTCAAAAATAAATTAATGTTTACTGTTAAGCTAAAATCGTTTTTTTTGCCAGCGGCCTTGTGCCACAACTGGCGCCACTCTCAACCAACATTATATACGGCGTGGGTTCGAGCCCAGAGTGGTGGTGTGTGTGTGTGAGTTTCCTTTCATGGGAAAGGAGTTAGCAAACCGAAAAAAAAAAAAAAAATTTGGGCCAAGTTAAGTTAAAATAGTTACATCTTATAATTTTATAATTTTTTTAATACCAAAGAAATGACGGTTTAATTATGGATTTGGATTTGATAAATAGTGTGCTTCAATTATAATCATTTATTTTCATCATTATTTAAAAATTATTTAGATTTATTTCTTTTAAAAATCCAAAACAATCTTTACGACTAAAGCATTTTTCACACATACTATCTCTTCCAAAAATTTGATATTTAATACTTTTTGAGTACTATATGATAATTTGTCATTTGACTAACTTGAATAATTAATTTCATGTCATGTGAAGCATTCATTGAGTGAGTGAATTTATGTCACTTATAGAATTCAACTTTTTAAATTACACTACTTCCAATCTAATATGTAAATAAATTACTTTTAAATATCTGACTAGAATTAAAGAGAGGCAGTTAAATTATTGATATTATTTGATTTTTTTTTTCAATTTATCCCCATTAATTAATGGCATTACTTTTCGGAAATATTTTCTCTCACGTAATTTTTATTCTACTCAAAAAAATTATGAAAGGGCGATTTTTTTTTTTTTTTTACCAACTGATGGGTGAAATTGAAAGTAATTAACTACTGATTCATCATGTAAAGTGATTTATAAAACGAATTATAATTTTTTCTAGAATGTTACTTGTATATATATATACATACATATATAGACAGAACCAGAGGAAGGGCAGTTCCAATCAAAATTTGGACTCTCTTTTGCTGTCATCTATCTGACGATTGGATATTGAATGTGTGGCTAAGAATGCCTCACACTTTATATTAGAGAACGCTATATATCCAAGCAAGGAACTCTACCTACAACTTCTGCAGAACAAGAAGCCTTATATATTATCAACATTACATTACATGGCTGTCTCTCTCACTCATTCATCCCTCTTTAATCACAAAGATATAACATTAAGAGCTCATCAGAAGATTCCCACCACAGTCCTCTTGCTTCAAATGTGCCAAAGCCTTCAAGAAGTAAAACAACTTCATGCTCAGTTCATTGTGACAGGACTTCTTGGCCACCCTTTGAACTCTGGGAGGCTCCTTGAGTCCTATGTTAAGGTTTCTCAGATAAACTACGCCATATCTCTCTTTGAAAGCATACCTGCTCCAGATATTTTTGCCTACAACACTGCCATAAGAGGCCTGACTCTCTGTAATTTCCCACGTGATGCTCTGTTGCTTTATAAAACACTGCTTCTAGAGGGTCAAATCCCAGATACTTATACCTACACATTTGTGCTCAAAGCTTGTTCCTATTTGGAAGCTTTGTGTGAAGGTGAACAAGTGCATTGCCAGATTATTAAAGCTGGAATATCAACTAGCACGCACATCAATAGCTCTCTGATACACATGTACAGTACTGTTATTAAGTTTCCTTCTGCAGAACTTGTTCTTGCTGGATTCTCAGAAGTGGAAACACCTGCTTTGAACTCAATGATTTCTGGGTATCTAAGGCATGGCCATGTTCAAAAGGCTAGAGATTTGTTTGATAAAATGGAATCAAGAGATGTTGCTTCTTGGAATGCAATGATTTCTGGGTACACAAAGAATGGTCTGCATGCTGAGGCTTTGGAGGTCTTTCAGGAAATGATGACATCCCAGGATGTTCCTATTGATCCTGATGAATCAACCCTTGTGAGCTCATTATCTGCCATTGCTCATCTGGGAACAATGGATCAGGGAAGATGGGTACACACATATATAAAAAGAAAAGGGTTTAAGATAAGTAACACTCTCGGTTCTGCTCTTATTGACATGTATGCAAAATGTGGCTGCATTGAGAGTGCCTATGAAGTGTTTGAGAAAATACCTGAACGAGATATAGTAACTTGGGGAGTCATCATTTCTGGTTTTGCCATGCATGTGCAAGTCCAGAAATGCTTTGATCTCTTCCATGAGATGATTCTGGAAGGAACTCAGCCAAATGAAGTAATCTTTGTGTCCCTCTTATCTGCTTGTTCTCATGCAGGATATGTTGACATGGGATATCACTATTTCAACAAAATGGTTCACGATTTCAGAATCAAACCTTCAGTTGAACATTATGGATGCATGGTGGACCTCCTAGGCCGGGCCGGGAAGTTAGCAGAGGCAGAATTGTTCATTGATTCAATGCCAGAGAAACCCAACTCAGTTATATGGGGTACATTCTTAAATGCTTGTAGGATGCATAATGATGCAAGAAGAGGAAAGAAAGCTCTAAGACACTTAATGGATCTTGAGCCAGATTGTGGAGACAGATATAAATTAGCAGGGATCATGTTTGCTAATGCAGGAGATGAAGAAGATGCACACAAAGTTAGGAAATTTATGAACGATTTTAATTTAAAAGCTACGAGTGGATTGAGTTCTGTAGAAGTTGAAGGGGAGCTTCATGAGTTTGTGGCAGGGGACACTGGTCATGATGAGGTTAGAGAGATTTATACTGTATGGGATGGCTTGACAGATTACTGAAACAGGTGGCCTAGATAAAAATATGCTGAGAAGTAAAAATTTAGTTAAATAGGAAAAAAATTAGACTGGGTTTGTGAATTTACATGAAGTTCGAGATGAGCTGCATCGTTCGCGGCTTATATGCAGTATAGCTTCCTAAACCTTTTTTTTAGACATGTTGTATTTTTTATGATTTTTCAAAAATAAAAATGTATAATTTTAATATTTTTCTTTAAAAAATTATAGAAAATATAAATTTTCACCATTTTGAAACTTTAAGATATCCAAATATTTTTTGTTTTAAGTAAAATCTAATGGTCCAAAAAAAATGAAAAATAAAATTGAAAACGTAGGACATTACAATGGACATTAGAGAAGGACACATTAGAAGCCCCTAGTCTGATAGATCTTGGGTTTGAGTTCTTGTAAATATATAAAATGTTTTCATGAGAGCTACCTCCAATTGAGCTCGACAATATTTAAATTTAATTCAGTCAAGTAGTCATACAAAAAAAAAAGAAGAGAAAATTAATCATTTGATCTTTATAACTTTGACTCAATTATAACTTAGTCCGTAAACTTTAACTTCTTATAATTTAATTGTTGAAATTTTGACTCGATTGTAACTCAATCCCTAAAGTTTGACTTTTATAATTCAATCCTTATAGTTTTAACTACTTAAATATTGATCCTTATATCTTAAAAAATAAAATTATAAATATTAAAATTATATTAAAATTTATTACTAATATTTTTAATTACTAAACCTTTTTAATGGTTATAAATATTATAAATATTAGAAGTTTAAAATATTTTTAATTTTTATAATTTTATTTTTTTTAAATATAGTTGCTAATATTTATGTGGTTGAAACTATAGGGATTGAATTATAAAAAGTAAAGTTTAGGAATTAAATTACAATCGAGTTATAATTATAAGAACGAAGTTACCATGAACCAAAATTTTGAAATTGAGTTACAATAAAATTAAAAATATAAAAATTAAATGATTATTTTTTTTTAAAAGAAAGATGAATTCTACTAGAATACTCCCCTGACTCAATGTATAAGTAATCTTTTAAAAAGAACTGATGAACTTTTTTATAAGTCACTTTAAATAAACGTGAATTTTTAATTATAGTATTCCAATTTACTCTTTTATGGCTTTCTGAGCATAGTTAAATGTTATGCACAAGAAGGAGTTTTTAAAAATGATGCATTTAATAAAGGTAAATTAATTTTTTTCTAGACAGTGTCAATAAGGTAACTACTTTTTTTTTTTTTTTAATTTCAGTGAGATACTTGGAAATCATTTAGAATCGAGAGAGTAAGTCCTTTAAAATGTAAAATTTGTTGGGTGTTTTAAAGTGAAAAAAAAAAAAAAGAAAAGAAAGGAAGTGAATCCCTTACGCCTATTTTTTGTGCGAGTATCTTTCTATGTTAGACATGATTTACAAATTATTGTAAGAACAAATGCTAACAAGAGAGATGAATATTCTTACGAGGGAAGTTAACATGATATTATGAAAGGAAATAAATATAAATTTATTTAAATGGATTCAACTCAACTGTTACTAAAGTTTTAATAATCAAATCTGTCATTGAACCAATCAGGATAATAATTTATAGTTTATTGATCAAATTGTAGTCGGTAACTAATGAAATAATATATTTTAATATTCATATATTAAAATAATACAATGATGAGTATAAATATATACTCCCTCCGGTCCCATTTATAAGTCCAATTTTAGAAGGTGTATTTGGTCCCATTTATAAGTCACGGTGCGTCTTTTTAGGTAATATTTGAGAGGTATTTCCAAAATTACCCTTCATGAGAGAGAAAAAGTAACAGGACATTACTTTTTAGATTTGTTATATAGGGGCATGTTTGGAATTTTACTTACTTTTATTCCTTGTACTTTTATTGTATTGGTATTGATGAGGTTGGTAGAAATGACTTATAAATAGGACCGGAGGGAGTACATGCAATGATATTTGCAAATTTTTAAAGGCTAATTGCAAATAAAATTTAACGCATTTTACTTAAAAAAAAGAGAGAAATAATTTAAAATACAAATAATTATTTGTCCACATATTAACAAAATTTTTATTAAAATTAAAAACATCATCAAACATCAATAAAAAAAAGAAATTTACATAATCAAAGATAAATTAAAATAGTGTTTTATGTTCTTTTGAACTATTTGGCCCAAAAAAATGTTCTTTTAAACTATGGTACTCTTTATGGTATCCTTGGATCAATGGAGATTTAAATTTTGAATTTAGTTTTAAATCAAATTTCTCACTTAACAATTTATAATCCATTTTGTATTATAATTATTTTTCAATTTTAATTTTTTTATACCTTAATTATTTAAAATTTTAGTCACTTCAAAAATCTTATTCTCTTCACATTTTCATGATTGATACCTCTCTTATTTCTTATTAATTGAAAAATAAAAATGAATTCATCATTCTCAATTTTTCATTTTCGTTTTAAATCTCAATTCATCTTTCCTTTTCATTTGAAATTTTTTAAACTATCCAAATAATGAATTTTAAATATAAAATTTGAAATACAAGATTTTAAATTTAAAATCCAAATACAAATCTACCAATTCAAACACTATTTTAAGTTTATTTTTTTTTTCAATAAATACATGGTCAGTTGAGAAAAAAAACTTTAGCATACATGTTTTTATCCTCTAACTTTTCAATAGATGCAATGATAATACTCAAAATATATCAAGAGAGTTTATAAGCGTTCGTTTGGGTATCTCACATTTTACTTTCACAAAGTGCTTTCTTATTTTTAAAAAGTAAAATGTTGTTTGGGTATCACATTTCATTTCAAACCAACTTTTCAAAAGTACTTTCTGAATGTTGTTGAATGTGGATTTAGTAAAAGTCATGAAGAGAAGCCTTTGCAATGTACTTTTAAAATATGATCCCTTTAATTTTTGATATAACCATGTTACCTCAAAATTTTTAATGACTCTTCTACTTTTAATTGTTCTTTACATTTTTGTCACACAAAAAAATTTTCATATATTTTTTTTAACTTTCGAGACTACTCTTATATAATTATTTTCATTTTGCCATTAATATTTCAAATATGGCTGATTATAGAAAGATAAATAAAATTCACGATTTAATTAAAAACCAAATTATACAATATAAATTGAACAACTAATCATGCTGTTGAACTCTTTATTATATAATTCTTTCTAACATATTAAACTTTATATTTTTTTATTATTATATTTAACTTATCAAATTTTATGTTGTTCAAAGATTTTATCGCATTTTTTAAACATTTTTAATATATTATATTAATATAATAAAAATTATAAATCATTATAAATCAATCCTTTTTGATAATTGTATATTTAAAAGCATATTTCATTATATATAATCAATACAACTTTCATTTTACTAAACTGAATTTAAAAAAAAATCTAAAAAAAAATTTCTTTTCAATGATCAACTTTCACTAAATTAATTTTTATCAAATAAACTTTCAATAAATGAACCTTTGATAAATTGAAAACTACACACACATAATAAAATGAGTTCAAAAACCTCTAAAAAAATTCAATCGGCATTCTTAGTGAAGCATAACTTTTTAAGTACGAAATCTTGAATTTGAGCCTGTGTGGAACTAGAAAATGCCTTTGAGATTTACATCCAATTGAGCCCGATAATACTTGATTATGACCCTACCAAATAGCTGTATAAAAAGACCTCTAAAAAAAAAGTTTAATTCTTTCTTTCATCTTCGTCCCTATACCAAACAAGCCGTCTCAACTGTCACGGGCTTCAACATTAAATTACTATACTCACTGCATCATTCAAGATACATCAAATCCCTCACCTATCAATTTACTCCTCAATTGAATAGATTATTCTACACAAGAAAATACAGATTATTCTACACAAGAAAATACAGATATTTCAAAGGTTTCTAACAAATAATGTCAAGATTTAAGTTATATCCCCCCCAAGAATGACATATTTTTTATCAATAAATAAATACATTTATTTTTTTTTCCATATATTGAATATAAATTCGCTCCTTTCATAATCCTACCCCAAAGGAAGGAAGACGTCCTAATCCCTTCAGTTGATGCTGCATCTATAATGATTTAAACTCACAAGAAGAGCAAGTTTAGAACAAAGTGTTCGCCGTATGGATTGATTGATTCCGGGGAATCAGAAAGCATTCACCATATGAGATTGAGTCGAGACTTATGGAAGTGCTTCTTCTTTATACACCAAGGACCAGGAAAGGTACTCAACTGTAACACAAGTTAAAATCAGTGGTAAGAGGTATTCAAAATATTAGAACTCAAATCTGTCGACCCTTCCTCAGCACAGACATCTGATCATGTAACCAAAAATCAAGCTAACATAATAATGAATGAAATCAAATCTTCAGTCAAAAAAGTTCAGCAGTTGGACCTCATTAAGTATTCAACATATATGAAATGTGACGTAGAAAGCCAATTTCTAATTTATGAGAGAATCAAATAGATAGCTCACATTGCCAATAGTCCTTGCTCCGAACCATGCAGTATCAGCACCATATGGAGGAGGAATGACTTTGATTCCACTGGACAACTGGGGAGGTAATAACTCATGGAGTTCCTTATCTAACCTTTCTGTACCATAAGGAGCCCAGAGTGGTATTAGAACTCATTAGTAGATGTAGCCCATCACTAGGGTCTTTTCAATACCTTAAGGTCCTGTTTGATTGCTAAAAAAGAATGGAATAAAATGAATTAAAAAAATAAAGTTAAAAATAAGATGATTAAAAAGTGGAGGAAGATAGATGAATTATATTCATAAAGGAGAATGATAATTTTAATTCGTGGGGTTGGGAATCATGATTCACAAGATTTTTAGAGGGTGTAATGATTTTCACATTTGTGGTACTAAAAGAATACTCTTGGAAGTTGTTGAGCGCGATCTCTTAATTAATAATATTCCTAAAAGCTTGATAAATGATAGAACACAATGGCGTTGCAATCCATGTAGCCGACCCCACCTAGTGGGATAAAGGCTTGTTGTTGTTGTTGTTGTATTATTGAGTTTTATCATACTTATCATAAAGGGGAAGGGTGATTTAATTCATTTTTGTTTTGATTTTTTTCAATAAATTCAATTCCCATGCTTTCTAACAACCAAACGGGACCTAATTCTATGTTATCATATTGAGGTGCTCCATAGTAGTAAGATGTAAATAGTTAAAAAAAAAAAAGGGCATTTACCTGCCAGACCTGGTAAGCATGCTGTTCCCCCTGATAAAACCACAGTCTTAAACCAATCAGGGTCACCTGCTAATTCTGCAGAATGGCAATGGTCCATACAAAGAGCTACAGCCTGGTGCAAACCCATTGCTTGCCTACACCAAAAAAGTTCATGATAAGCTTAATCTACTAGTCCCGGGAAACAAGGAACAAGCTGACTAGCGGGCTAGAATTTTCCATGGGGTGCCATCATAGCAAGAGGAACAAACACTGCCAAAGGGAATGGAATCACAGAACATCCAAAGGTTCACTCAATTATGGATAAAGAAGATTTTCAAGCAAGTTGCATATATACTAGACCCTGACATGTGCTGCCTTGTTACTTTTTCCTAGTAAATACAGAGAAGTGGACTTACTCGTTTATCCTTTTTCAAATTACATCATGCTTCTCATGTGGAAGTTATAAAAAAAGGGGGGGGATGACAATTAAGAGAGTCTGAGAATACTTGCTACCCCAATTGTATGTTTGGTACATAGAAACGTGTTTTCTAGAAAGTACATGGAAAATGAACTTGAAAGAAAATGAGATGGGTGCATTTCCCATCTCCCTTCTAGAGAACACCTTTTTTATCTACTAAACATTGCATAAAAGTTTATTGACTTTCCAATGATAAGGGGAACAAAAAGGAAATAAAAAAAGGGGTCAGAAGAAAATGACATTTTGAAGTTTTATAAAAAAATTTGCTTTTGGGGGTGGAGGGCCAGTGTTTTCTGAATCTTTATGTCAAAGATGAGAATTACCATCCTCACTATGCTGTAGTCTACTTTTGATAGTTTTCTCCCAGAAATTATATATTCTGACGAAGTTTATTTACAATTAGTGGTGCACTCTGCAAATATGATTCCCCAGTGTACGGTTAACATAGCCATCTTTCTCTTCTTGATAGGTATATTTCTATCCTTGAAATATCAAATCAGTGGAATATATGCTGTATAGACTGTTCTGGAACTGAAGGTTTTAATGACACAACCCAGGTTTAAAAGTCAAGTCTCATGAAGAGAAATAATTCAGTCCAAGAAAACTATCGTCATATTTCAGATGATACCAATATTTGTGTCCAACAAAACCTCCTCCCTCTTTTTGAGAGTAAGGCAACTGATAAAATTAGGGGCTTATAACCATTTGTTTGCGTATCATTTGTGCTTGTGAAGTACTTATCAAGAAAGAACTTCTATTTTTTCAGAATAAAAAACTGCGCCACCAAGTTCCTGGGGTTGCCAAATTTCAACATGAGTATACTTCCAAAGCAAATTTTACTCTCAAATATTTAGAACCAGTTCATCCAGGTTGGGTGATGATAGACAAGCTAATATAAGAATCAGGCCTCAATCGTGGTTAACTAGGACACCCTACACTTGTAACCATATCGCAGGCATACAAATACTTACAGTCCAGCAAGACGGGGCTGGAACAGGATCTCTCCTGTTTGAAACCGCTCTTTTGAAAGTGTAAACAATCCTTCCCCTGCTGCTTCAAACGATGCTTGTGTATCTTTTGATAGTTCAGCTTCATAATCAATAGCTACATAGCACAGCTTCTGTTGGCATCCAACCAAATTCATGAGACAACTTCAGTGAGATGACTTTGCAGGAAGTAATTTCTGTTTCTGAGTTCAAATACAACCATTCCCAGCACACTTCAACAGAAACCAAACATAATAAAATTATATAATATGTACAAAAGAAATCCTGAGGTTTTCACACAAGTAATATTTCCACTGATCATTGTGATGAGTCTCATCTACCATAATTCTGCTCTGCACTTGCTATACTTCAACTTATATCTAACCACCAATAAATTATGCCGTAGGATCCTGCTCAGTTCTGACTCATACACTTCAATCCATGAGGCAAAAGATATTTCAACACTTGGAAAAACTGGAGCCACAATTTTTTAAAGAACAAATTTAATCTTGTATATTATGAGTTAGAACATATACAGCTACTTTTTTTTTTTTTTTTGGTGGGGTAAATGAATGAGAGAGAAAGAACCCAAAATATAATACTTTTATCCATGCGCAAACAACAGGATATCAGTGGTCAATATTTGAAAAGTCCAAAATCTGATCTGAATTATGAGAAGCTCAGAATAAAACATTGTAATTTCCATTAAGATATCACATGCATAAATGACAGCAAATTGGACCACCTGTCAACCAGAATTGATATACACAACTGCATTTCATGATAAGAACTGATACACAGCTGAAATATACCATTGCACCACAGAGGCATTGACTGTCACAATGATATTAATGGTTGAAATCTCCTCAAGAATTGAAGAGCAAAAGAAGAATAGAAATACCTCTTTTAGTGTGCGAACGGTGTACAAAGATTCAAAATTAATGTTGTTCCGTTGCATCAGCTCCCTAAGGAAACCTGTAAGTTTGATTGCTCCAAGTCCCACAACTTCCACACCCACCTTGCGCATAACTTTACCATTCATAACTGCAAAATGACAATGCAAGTAACTATATTCCAACCAGAAAAATCTAAACTTTGGCATTTTTTTTCTTTTTGTTTTCTCCTTTGGTAAAAAGGGAATATAATTACTGCTTCAGACAAAAAGGATGTCTAAGCATTGACAACCCTTAGTTCATGCATGAAACAGAAAAGTATCAGGCATCCACACATGGACAGCACATTACTAAGCTCCACATACAAGAATTTAATAGTATGCATAAATAAAAATCTAGAAAGGAGTCTATGGAGCATACTTGGGACTATAGATGTGACCTGAAAACCAACATTAACAGCTATTCCAGAAGTTTGTTTTGCGGCATACAGAGCCAAAGTGGCCTATGTTTACCAAACAGAAAGTAAGTAAATATAGCAAAAATACCCAAAAATAAATTGATTGAAAGAACAGAATAGCCAAATTATATCATTCAATGCAATTATATTCATGGACAAAGTACGTTCATATCATTTGATTAATAACCTTGACTTACTGTTAGAATACATCACATACATCCACTTGAATATTCAAACTAAGGGCCTTTGCTATTAACTCGACACATACAAGTATTACACTCCTTTTTTTGGAACATCAAGAAAGTGTGAACAATATTTCGAAACAATTAATTGCTGATAGAGTCCAATGATTGTGCAAGCCCCACTAAATTAGATAATGCTTGTTATTATCAAAAAAGTTTAAGCCACTGACCCCTACTTATCCCCCACTCCACCCTTACTAATTTAGTGCCCAATGGTTATTATACCACTACTTTTAATCAAGTATTCGTCGCACAAGGTGGCTGTCACATTTGCACAAATCTGACTTAGAGTACTTATTAGAAATCCAATATTTAACTATGAGATCTTCCTTTGGTAATTGGAATTTATTGTCCTACCCCCTGGAAGAGTTTAAGGATTTTGAGTTTAGTATCAACTGCAACTACAACAACAACAACAACAAGCCTTTATCCCACTAGGTGGGGTCGGCTACATGGATTGCAAGACGTCATCGTGCTCTATCATTTATCAAGCTTTTAGGAATATTATTAATTAAGAGATCGCGTTCAACAACTTCCAAACTTCCAAGAGTGTTCTCTTAGGCCTTCCTCTACCCCTCTTAATCGGACTCAAAGTTATATGTTCCATTCTTCTCACTGGTGCCTCCCTTGGTCTTCTTTGTATATGCCCAAACCATCTCAACCGATTTTCTACCATTTTTTCTTCAATAGGTGCTACCCTCACTTTTTCGCGTATGTGCTCATTTCGAATTTTATCTTTACGTGTATGTCCGCACATCTATTGTAACATTCTCATCTCTGCTACTCCAACTTTATGCTCTTGCTGTCCCGTTAGAGCCCAGCATTCACTACTATATAACATTGCCGGTCTGATAGCAGTGCGATAAAACTTTCCTTTAAGTTTATTAGGCACTTTACGGTCACAAATAACTCTTTTAGCTTTTCTCCAATTAAATCACCCAGCTTGAATTCTATGTGAAATATCTCTACTGATTTCGCCATCATTTTAAATAATGGCTCCCAAATATCTAAACTTTTCCACTTGAGGTATAATTTGATCTCCCAATTTTACTTCCAAATTATTGTCGAATAGTCTTCAACTCCAATGTCCTCCTCCATAACTCAAGTTTGCAATTAACCTCTTTTCTTGTCTCTGCTATAAGAACTATATCATCCGCGAAGAGCATACATTTGGGAATTTCCCCTTGAATATGTTCCATCAAAACATTTAGGATTAAGTTGAACAGATAAGGACTCAGAGATGATCCCTGATGTAGTCCAATCTTTATAGAAAAATCCTTTGTTTGACCATTAGGCGTTCTTATACTAGTTTTTACCCCCTCATACATATCATATATGGCTTTAATATAAGCAATCTGTACTCCCTTTTTTTTTCAATGCTTTCCAAAGCACTTCTCTTGGTATACAGTCATAAGCTTTTTCCAAATCAATAAAAACCATGTGTAAATCTTTATTTTTACAACGACACTTTTCCATTAATCCCCTTAGTAGATAAATCACCTATGTAGTTGATCTACCTGGCATAAAACCAAACTGATTCTTAGAAATACTTGTCTCCAATCTCAACCTGTGCTCAATTACTTTCTCCCACAATTTCATTGTGTGGCTCATGAGTTTAATCCCTCTATAATTAGTACAATTCTGAATATCTCCTTTATTTTTATAAATAGGAATTAATGTACTTCTCCTCTACTCATCAGGCATTTTCTTGAACCGTAAGATCACATTAAATAACTTAGTTAACCATCTCACCCCTTACTCACCTAAACATTTCCACGCTTCGATAGATATACAATCAAATCCGTTGGCTCTACCATTTGCCATTTTCTTAAGAGCTTCCTTTACCTCCTTATCACATATTATTCAATAGAATGACAAATTTTGTTCTCCTTCAACAGTTACTAAATCATCCAAGTTACTAGATGAACCCTCTCCATCATTGAAAAGTTTGAAAAAGTAAGTCTCCCATCTATTTTTAATTTTATCATCTGTAACTAAAATTTTTCCCTCTTCATCCTTAATACACCTTACCTGTTCTAGATCCCTTGATTTTCTTTCCCTACTTTTGGCAATCTTATAAATGTTTCGTTCTCCTTCCTTCGTCTCAAGGCTCTTATAAAATTCTTCAAAAGCATTAGAACGAGCTTCACCCACAGCTCTCTTAGTTTCCTTCTTAGCCATACGGTACCTCTCCCAATTTTCCTCATTGTTACACAAATATATGGCTTTAAAATAGTTCTTCTTATACTTGATTTTGTCCTATACACTATTATTCCACCACCAAGACTCCTTATTTCTCGGACCAGAACCTTTTGATTCTCCTTATCAACTGCAACTAAAGGAAATATAAATTATAATTTGATAGAACGAGCCCAAACAAGAAGAAAAGATAGTGGAAAATGTTCTGTGATTCTCTATTATCAAGAGAAAACTATAGAGAATACACCCACTAATATCAGTTTACCTCCTAACGGAACAGTAACACCATTATCACCCACACACTACCTAGTTTTCGAGAGACCAGGACCTCTCCTCTCTCAAGATAAATCTTCCTTACCTATTCCTACTGCCCTCACCCTCATGTACGCACTACCACTACTCTGATAGTATCAAAGCAATTGTCACCCTGTATTGTGACCATTCTGCCCCTGCTCAACTCGCTGGTTGTCTTGGGCTTTACTTCCTCTGGACTTTCTCTTGTACACCCGACCCCATCTCCTAGCTTTAGGCCCATCATAATTCTATTAAGAAATCTAACCTAGCCTTTTTTCCCTTTATTGCCTTAGCCTAACTGACAAAAAATCCATCATGCTAGGCATTACCTGCATGCTTAAGCAATCAAGAATTTTCCCACAACAGTGGCAACCTAAAACCATAATCTTCTCTTGAAACCTTTCATCCACCATGCACTATTGATTACTCCAGAAAAGAAATTCATCATCCAGATTAATCCTACCAAGGAAATGTTTGTCATCCAAACTTGTCCAATTCCATAAATAGGTACCCTACCAACACCAGTCACAAAAGGAGTGTTTGTCAAGTTGACAAACATTGTGAATTTGTCAAATTCCATAGACATGAATTAGGTGCAAAAACCTTTCATTAATATAATTGTATTAGATCTAATCCTAGTTGGAGTCAGCACAGATTAGCAAAAGCATATCTAACCATGCTGGCATTGAGATTCAATCAAAAATATGATGGGATTATGATAGGTAACTTAGTGGAATGGGGAAACCTACCCTAAAAGCTAGCTGTTGGAGTGGGAGAACCAACCCACTTATATACTCCACTGAGCATCCTATATTACTCGATGTGGGATTTGGTATCCCATACCACCAAGTCTCCATCAATTGGCCTCCCATGGAAAGCCGACGTCCCAATAGCTACATTCCACAGCACTTAACTCGATCTCCTTCCGATCATAATCCTCTGTGGGTAGCCCTCTCCGGAACTGCCAACAACGAGGCTCTGATACCAATTGATGGGTACCATAGTGGGATGAGAAACCCTCCCCCAAAAGCTAGCTATTGATGGAAGAACCAACCCACTTATATACCCCGTTGAGTATTCCATACTACTCAATGTGAGACTTGGTATCTTATACTACGAAGTCTCCAACAGATTACCACATATAGATGGACAGTATGTATAGAGTTTGGTTAGTAGTCATAGATTCAATAAACATGGTGGGTAGTGAGCAATTCTCAAGAATTTTGAGATATTTTTCCACAAGAGACAAAAATAATGTGAGACAAATAAAATAAATAGGTTCTCTTCATCAGAAAGATCAAGATGAACAGAGGCTAGGATTAATTACAGATAAGCACCTGAAAGAGACATCAAAAGAGAAGCAAATATAATTATAATAGTGGAACAGCTACAAATACGTTAATACCCACATCTTTTAGTGTCTGTTCTAATAAATTAATTCAGATAAGGAATCACAAAAATCCTCTATATAAGGGTCAATGGATTATTTTCAGCATATGTTAATGTGAAATCATCTATTTTTGTGGTAGAATGATAGATAAGGCAATCAAAGCTTCCTTGTGAAAATTGGAAAAACCTGGTTGACAGCACAAATAGCGGGAACATTCATGTCAAAGAGGGAAGCACATATTGCCTCCTTAAGCTGCCGTCTTGATGCTTTGGAAGATTCTGTATCTGAAATAATGGAAAGAGATTAACATTGTACAGAAAAGAATCATATAATGTAAGAGAAATTATCTACTTTTTACTTCAATAATTCAAGTTATAAAAACAAGAAAGTAAGATGTATGGAAAATGTCACATAAGGCAACATAACTTCCTCTATTGAGTAGATTTTACCCGTACAAAAGATAGGATGCACAACACTTTGAATGATAGAACTCAGTTATAAGTAGTGAGTGTAGTGTCTAGGGCACATCTCACTGTTACTGCCAAATAGACATAAAGATTACAAAAGCAGAACTAAATGTCCAAAATGGAATTTTTGTTCTTGTTAGCAAATACTTGGGGAAGCTTATAGCAAATGGTTGATATTAGGTATTTGGACAGGAATTTAAATAGCATAGTTTGATTGGTGATCAAGTGGTGGGTATTAGGTATTTAGACAAGTATTCAAATGATTTGCTATTTTAGTGATTTATTACACTAGGAGTTTTCCTTTTTTCCCCTCCTTTTTATCAGGTCCATCACTGAAATAGGTTATAAATGTAACTGACCATCATAATGGCATATTGGAATAGAAACAATGACGGGTTGAGTACTTGGTTTAACCTGCATCCTGTGGATAAAACAACTAATGCATTAGGCATCCAAGACAAACCACTTAAAAATTAGGGGCTTGTTTGGCAAGGGTTCTGTGAACATATTTTTGTTCTCCAGAACAGGAAAAAAAAAATCTGTTTGATAGTGTGTTTTCATAAAATGTTTTAGAGAATAAAAAAATCAAATATTGTTATAGAGAATAGAACAGAAACATCTTTAGATGTTTTGGAATTATTATTCTAAAGAATAAGGAAAAATACAAAAAAAAAACCAACCGTTTTCATTATTTCTTTTTTGTTCCCAGACCATATTTTATAAAATATCAATTCTCCGAATAATAAAATAAAAGTAGTTTCAAACAAGCCCTAAGTGTAGAATAAATAGAACTGCCATGGCTCTAAAGTTTTTTTCCTTGTAAATGGTCATTAAACAATACAAAGGATACGCAGGCAAAGATGAGTAGTGGGAGAGAACAGGAAGAATTAACTCAAAGCACAATCAAGTCCCTTTTAGTAAATTTCTCTTTTTATCAAATATTTAAAATAACAAACCTGCTATAAATGGTTGCAAAAAAATGTCTAAGTCTAGTGTACATTGGCAACTCAAGGTTACCAAATTCCTGCACATGAATGATGAAATACTTTAAACAATAGACATATTAAGAGGTAAAAATAACAGCTGTTGAAATGAGAGGAAACAGTAGAAAACCGGGTGCCTGCCAGCATCTGAAAGAAAATAAAACAAAATAAAATAGCTCATGCAGTCTTAGTGATAGTTCCAATAGAAAACTTTACCAGAAAGGTAGCCGATCGCCCAGATGGTCGGTCATATTTGCTCCAACCAAATTTGCAATAGCCAGAACCACCTATAGAAGCAGGCATAGTATTGAATTTGAGAAGAAGTAAATGTCACGAAGAACATAACTATAGGTAGGTGCAAAACCAACCATCGATGATAAGAGCACCAGGAACTTGTTCTCGTTGGCCATATATACGCTTGAAAGATAACTGAGGCATCTGACAAACTAAGGTTCTAAAATTTCAAGGAGTCAAAACACAAGAAGAAATCCACTAGACGCAAAGGAACACTGTAATTCTCAGGTTCTAAGAGTTGACCCTCCATCACAAAGAAGGAAGCAAGCCAGAAAGGAGAAAAGGAAAAAGTGAAGGTACTTACGGAAGAGGATGACCGGACCTCAAACTGGTCTCGGCGAAAAAAATGGAATCCCATGGTTCCAATTGGAAATTCTGAAGGAAATAAATCCACAGCCGGTTATCAGAGGCCAGCGACCTCCATGCTTTGCAAACAAGACTCAATTTCGCAGCTTCTTTGGGACCCAGAAGCCTCAGGATTTGGATCAATAGATCGAAAGGAACTTTCTCGAATGCACCCAGAGGTGAATCCACGCAGCGAAAGCGTTCCGGCGAGTTGGAATTTGAACCCGAACTCGAACGGTTCGATACAGATTCCCACATTTTCCTCAATAGCGTCACCATGAATTAGGTTATGAAGTTAAATTCAGAACCATCAAACGCAGATTTCCATTGGCGGTAAGCTTCGGAGAAGATGGGTTGTGAACTTGGGCGGGTTGGTGTAGAAAGCTGAAGCGCTGAACGTTGGTGAGCAAGCGGAGATGTGTTACACGTGTCAGAAATCTATTCAAATACTAGCTTTTAATTTTTCTTTTATTATTCTTTTCTACTTTGGCTTAACCGTTTAACTGTCATTTTGTTTTGTAATAAAAAAAATTTTATGTCAAAGTGTTTTTTGATTGTGCAGATACAATGAATCTTATGAGTCTCCTTCCTAATTTCAATCAAGAATACCACTCATTTGTGAATATTATTAATTAGGCACAATTTTTTTTTTTATAAAAAATGAAATATTTTGGTTAACTCTATGTTTAGAGAAGTTAATTATTGTGTTCATTTTTTGGTTAAGTTTGCTTTAAATAGAATAAGTGTGTTTCAATTTTTTGATCAACCCTCACTTTTTTGTTTGAATGTGGTAGATGATGATAAGAAAATTTCTTTTTAAATTTCTTTCTCGTAAGATATTTTAGCTCTTGACTTCAAATGCAATTTAAAAAAAAATTCCCTAATCAACCAAGCAATGTTTTCGCGTGCTGTTCGTAACCTAATAGGAGGAAAAAGAAGAATTAAAGATTTGCTAATACAGGGAATATTTGTTATCTTAATTTTAACACTTGAAATCTTTTTAATTATTACAATTTTAAAGCCTTTGATGGTTAAATATTAATACAATGATTAGATTGTATCTTTATTTGTATGTTCATGTACTTGATAATTTAATTCATGAATGTAAAATAGTGTTTGGTTGGATGAAAGAGAAGGAAAGAACAAATTTTAAAAAATCTTTCCTTCTCACCACCTTACCAAACAAGAGAAAAGGAAGGATGTTTAGTTGGATAGAAGGAAAGGAAAAAAAATTTAAAAAAAATTTTCCCTTCCTACCACCTTACCAAACAAGAGGAGGGGAGCCCCTCCCTTCTCCCTTGTCCAAACAAGGGAGAAGGGACCTCCTCTTGTTTGGTAAGATGAAGAGATAGGAAGATTTTTTAAAATTTTTCTTTTCTTTTTTCTAAAACCTTCTCCTTAATTTGAGAAATGCCTCTCTCTCCCTTCTCTCCTCTCAAATCAAATAAGGTCTAAAAGAACTTGAGATGAAATAATTTGTGAAAGTAATAATTAGGTTCTTTGAATTTTAGGAAGTCTCTACAAATTGTGATAATGTTTAGACATATTTTCTTTATGTGATTTATATTTTTCATGATGAGCATTTAGTATTGTTTAAACTTTAAACTTTGTCCAGACAAAAAACTTTAAACTATAAAAATACTACTCCCAAGGTTGTCAAAGTGGCAAGTGCAAACTCTTAATGGTATATAAATTTAAATTATAAACTCGAATTATAAATTTATAAAAATTTACTTTTATTAATAAATGATCATTAAAAATATGTGATTAAATAATTAAAATGTAAAATATGATCGTATTTTGATATAACTATAATTTAAATATAAATAACTAAAATTAAATTTATTAACATTGATAGATTATCATACTCAATATAAAAATTTTAAAATAGAGTAATTTATTTTTAGTATTTCTTGTTTTTTATTAATATTAGATTTTTTCTTTTGAAGTTTTATTTTTCTTTGAACCGGATTTTATTGTTTCTATGAAGTGAATTTTACACTATATGCCCAACTCACTTAACTCAATATAAAAATTAACGAGTTTATCAAATTTAACCAAGTTTACACATAATCATAGTTCATGAACAAGTTGACATAATTTTATAAATTAAAAATATAAAAATAATAAACTCAAAAAATTAACTTATAAGTTTGATCGAGTTTGTGTCTAGTTTGAATTTTGGAATAAATTAATATGATTTTATAAGTTAAAAATGTTATAAATAAAAAATTTGCAAAGTCAATTCAAGAGATTAACAATAATAGCTACTCCATTGGATCCTATTCATAGTAAAAATTTGAGAGAAGTCTCTTTGGGGAGGATGACACTAAAGCCCCAAATAATGAATTTATAACAATTAGGTTATTGATAAAAAATTTTTTTATAAAAAATTAATTGTAAATATTGATTCAAACGGTCATAAATTTAAAAATTTTAATTGTAATTAAGATATTTAAATTTTATATGTAACTCTTTGTTTGTAATTGAGATTATTATTTCCAATTGTTTGAATCATAATTACAACTTATTTTTTAAAAAATTTGTTGGGACTTAATTATCATAAATTTCATATTTTGAGATTTTATTGTCATCTCTACTTTTTTACCCTATTTATAAAACAAAACAACTTTTTGACAAGAAGATTCATTAAAAAATTGGAAAGATTATGCATAAGTCTTATGGAACAATTTTTTTTATAAATAAATTTCATAAAATTTAAAAACTATAATCAAATTTTTTGAGACTTGAGTATAATTTAAAATTGAGGTGTAAAGATAATACTGCCCTTATTAAAAATGCATTATATTAATCAAGTGATTCATAACTATTTTATCAATAACTCACAACTATCACTTGAACATTTTATAATTATAACTTCACGTATCTAATAATTAAATTCATCATACGTTACTAATAAAATTTAACATTAATTATTTATAATTATTTTATTAATAATTTACAATTATAATTTCATAAATTTAATAGTTAAATCGATCATGTGTTACTTCACCAATAATTTATAACTATCACTTCAACTTTTTATAAATGTAACTTTACATATACACTGGTTAAACTGAATATGCATTACAAGTAAGGGTAACGTTGTCTTTGCGTTATAATTTTAAATTATACTCGTGTCCCAATGAAATTGGTTATGATTTTTAAATTTTACGAAACTTATTTATAAATAAGTCTGTTCTATAAAACCTATGTATAATTTTTCCTAAAAATTCTTTTTTTACCCTCATTTCTTTACTTGAAATTAGTTGCTTATCTCTCATATCAGTTATTAAGAGTCACTGGTCAACTCCCTAATCAAGAATATTGCAACAAAGAAACTTATTTTTATGACATGTTAATTGCATCTAACAAATTTTAATAATATACTCCTAATATTATTAAAGTATGTATATTTAATAGAAAAAAATTAAAAAATTATTAAATTTTTAGATGAAACTATTATGAGTTTTAAGATTTTTTTTTTGGTTATTATGTTCTAATAGTGATTTATAAATAAGATAAAATAAAATATTATTTTTTTGCTTAAAAAAGTTTAAGGAATTGGATTCAACTCACTGTGATTAGAGGATGTTTTAGGCCTTAAAAAATATTTACAAAGATATGTATTTTCATATTGTTTATTAATAAGGCTCATATATTGACAATGCGATTTAATTATATAACTTTATGAATGTGAATTATGTGTGAAATAAATCATTTTGAATTTGCTAATTTGGTTATTTTGTTTATTTTTACAAGAGAGGATGGCAAATAAATCCCTTTAAAATGGGCAAATGACAAAATAATACCATGAAGTGGGATAATTCTTTTAAAGTTCTTAAAAACTCATCTGTAATAATTTTTTTCCAAAATTATATTTCCAACCTTCTACAAAATAATAGAAATCATAGTTATTAAATCTAAACTAAAATTATGAATAAAAAATTAAAATTGTTAATATATGAAACATAGTTATTATTGCATAAATAAACTGAAGTTATGACGAACTGTATTGTTAATATTTAAATTAAAATTATTAATATAAGAAACATATTTATTATTGTATAACTAAATTAACCACTATACTTTTTATATTAACAATTTTATCTTTGATATTAACAACATCAATTTAAATATCAACAACTATGCATTTTCTAATTTTTTTTTAGGGTCAGAAACATATTTTTTAAAAAAAAAAGTTGAATCAAATATGCTCATAGAAACTTCAAAATAATTAGGAAGGATTACTTTAAGGTCCCACAAAACATATTTAATTACTATAAAGTTTATTGTATTGTAATTTTTTTAGTTCATTTATCAATAAATCTTATAATAATTACATATGTTGTGTGAAATTTGTATGTAATTTTTCCATATAATTATCACATCTTGTGCTCTAACATTACGTCAAATATTTATTTGTCATTCTCAGTTTTACAGAGGGGATGGGAGAAATACTTGAAAAAATGACAACAAAATTTTTTTGAATTACATAAATAATATTTTAATATTTTAAAATGTCATAATTTTATTAAATTTCTTAAAAACTTTTATGTTAATAAATTTTGAATTGAAAGAACATTTTAATCTCATTGATAAGTTTTGATTTATTATACTTGCAATTTCTTAAATAAAAGTTATTATCTCTTAAATAAAATTTATTATTTTAATAATTTATTTTTAATAATAGAAATTACACTTGATAAGTTGTAATGTTTTGTTCAACTTTTGTTATTTATATAATAAAAATTATTATTCCTTAACCAAAAATTGTAATTAAAATTTATTATTTTGACATCTTTTTTTAATAACAAAAATTATACTTAATAAATTATAATTTTTTATTTAACTCTTTTGATTCACATAATAAAAATTATAATTTCTTAAACAAAAATTATAATTGAGGTTTGTTATTTAAAGTAAAATAATTTTTTTACTTTAAAATTTATTGACATAAAAATAAAAACTTCAATAAAATTATAATATTTTAAGTGGTTAAATTGTTATTTATATAATTTTAAAAAATTTTATTTTCATTTTTTCAAAATACCTCGATTTTCCAGCTAGTTAAAAAAAAAAAATAAACCTAATTGTAGTGTCTTTGGCGGCGCCACTCCCGCTTCAAGGCGGCCGTCCCTCGCGTCTCTCCGTTCTCTCCTCCTTCCCTAATCTCTGGAACTCTTTTCCAGTTCGGCCATCACTTCGTTGCCCAATTTCTCCATCGGCGGAGCTCTCTTATCTCTCCAAGTCTCCATCCCTAATCTCTCATATCTGTTTGTGCTGTACGTTTTCCTATAACCGCTTGACTGTTTTTATAATCTATCATATCTTATTTCACATCTTCTTGTTTCTATTTTGCGTGCTTGTTTTTCTCATTTTTCATTGTTACATGAATATTGTCTTATGCGTGATGCAGTGATTGGCAGAGCAAAAGATCAGCAATAATGTATCTTCAGTATTACATTAATGATAATGGTAATAAAGTTTACACTACCAAGGTAACATTTAGTTTATCTTTAACTAGTTCTGTAACACACCATGTATGTTTGCTGCTAAATTGGAGTTGAAGGCATTAAACATGAATTCATTGTGAAAATGCGTAGATTTTTACATGTTCAAAGGTCTTGTAAAGTTTTTTAGTGAAATATCACTAATTGGCAAATCTAAAAGTAGTTAATAGGGTCTTATTAAAAAAAGGGGGGGGGACTGGAGGGAGTAATTTTTAAAAGGACAGATAAATTAAAAAACGAAAATTTTCTTCGAATATGACAGCTGAAACGAAATGGTGGGAGGCTGGGAGCAATTGTCAAAATGATTTACATTTAGCTGCAGGCGTGGCTTAAAATTTTAGTAGAAAAAGGAAGATAATGTGATCATTGGAGGAGATTAGCAAGTGTAAACTATATGTGTTTTCGAATTTATGAAATATTGCTCAAACATTTAGCGGAAGCACTGGATATTAAAGTATCTTGTTTGAAAAATGATTATATCAGTAAGGTCGCTGCACAGTTAAGTTTGAAACTCCATTCTATATGTAATATGTTGCAATACACAAAATCTGGTGAATGGATTTTAGTTGTATTAAGTTTTAGCTTCTCTGTTAATGCAGAAAGAATCACCTCTTGGTTTGGCCACACAGTCTGCTCATCCAGGTAATATAGTTTCATTGTTTCTGTTTTCATGAAGGCTATTGTTGCCCCTGGTTTACATGGAAACATGAAGAAATTTTGAATAGTATATATGAGTGACATTGTGAGTGATATCTTTGGAGAAGGAAGAGCCGATTCATTTTCTGTTAGACTTGATGCCTAGATGTTAGCTGCATTAAGCTGCCATTAACCTATAGAACTTTTCTTTCCCTTTCATCTCAAGTTTCACATGGACGAATTTCCCCCCTTTACTTTTACTGGAAGTACTTGAACCTAGAGTCAGTCTATGAAGGTACAAGCTATTATATGTTGGAATTGTAATCAAAATGAGTAAGCCAATCTTGCTAGTAATCTGGGGCTCTGAGCACTTCTTTTGGGGTTTAATTTTTTGGGATGTATTTGTATTCTCATACCTATGGTACATTTGTGTTGCTGTCATAATGGGATTGATCTGAATGAAAGTTCATATTCCTCCCAGGAGTTAATTTATTGCTTTATAGTGTGTTTGGAGTGGTGTACTTAATCCTTGTGCATGCGTTAGTCCTGGACTTGTTAAATGAAAACAGATGTAGATTACTTCTGTTTTAAACTTATAGCACAAGTCCAGGCAGAGTTATTTCTTCCCTCTTATTATTATTATTTAAATTTATCTATTTATTTACATCAGCTATACCTTATTGATCTAGGACCATTGATATGTATCTGTTCTTTATCTGGTGACTTTGCAGCAAGATTTTCGCCCGATGACAAATTCTCTAGGCAGAGAGTCCTTCTGAAGAAGCGCTTTGGTCTGTTACCAACTCAGCAGCCAGCTCCAAAGTACTAACCCAAAACACACACGCACACCGCTGGGGGATTGTTTTAAAGAGTTAATTATGGGCGCTTTCCTTCTCCCCCCGTCTTGGACCCAATAATCTGACTTGATAAAGAGATCTGTGGTGCGGCAGATATTTCTTTAGAATGTATAATGTAATGATTGACTGGTTGGAAATAGAGACTATGTATTAAAATTTTTTTCTCATGTATTTTGTATTTTTAAATTACAAACACAGGCCAGAGCTTACAAATTAAAAAAAAGATGTGAGGATAATAAACCCACATCCATAAGGCTATAACTAAGATCATAGTCCATGATGACTAAACACTCTGGAGGTGGTTCCAAAATTAAATTTTGTTTCTTTAGAATTAAAGATAAACTATAATACAGTCAAGAAGGTAAGTAGCAATTATTTAAGTTAATATAATTATGAGGATTAGAAATTCTATAACCTAAAGAACTCTACCACTGAGACCAGCATTCAAGAAATTCTTCAAACCAAACTAGTAATATTGAAAGAGCAGTAATAATTGATTAATATATTTCCGAAGTATATTGCTCTCTGGAAGCGCTGTAGCTCTCCAATGAATATTCTTGACTGGCTTGGGGTCCTTGAAGACTAAAGTAATGTCAGGAAATCCTGGACCAAAATCTTCCATATCTGTAATCCATTTGATAGCATATCTCAGCTCTCTAAGAATGAAAAGAATTGAATCTCCTCCAGAAGTCCAAATTCCTCCTCACATGAAAGAAGTTAAAATATCTGAAAATTACAATGCCAATTCCTCTGGATTTAAACCTTGATTTAGTGACAATCTTTCCAAGGTTGATGATAAGAAACCAACCAAACCAGGCCTTGGCTTTGCATGATCTAGAAATCGAAGGGATAAGCAAAACAGAGCTCAAGATAACTTAACCAATAAGGCCGAAAGAAAATGAAGAGACGGGAAGCAAAGGAATAGGTTTCAAGAAATCTTCTAATCAGCATATCGAAAGAGCAGAGCCAGTGAGCAAAGGCAAACCAAGAGACGCTACAGAGACACCAATAAGACGACAGAGAAAAGTAGAAACTATGGAAGAAATGGAGAACAAGTTAATATAAGACTTGTGCATTTCGGCTCCCTTGAAAAAATTACGTACATTGTTTAACTCATCAATTATAAATAGCTTTTACTGCTGTAGGTGAAAAAATAATTGATGTATATTCATTCTTTCAAAACTTGAATATCATTGGTAATATTGTGTGTCCTTCTAGTAAGCACAATGACGAGTTACAAGATATTTTTGTGTTTCAAATTGTCAATTTAGTTGAAAATGATGAGATTCAGATAGGAAAGAACTAAATTAACCCATTATGATGGCATGAAGACATTAGATGATGTTCTCATTTTAATTATACATGTAGTCTTTTATATAATACAGTGCAATTGCTTTAGTTATTGAAAGTATGGGGCTATTTGAAATTATTTTTATTTTATTGTTTTGAAAACTGATGTTTTGTAAAACATGTTTTGAGAACAAAAAAAAATAATAAAAATAAATATTTTTTTCATTTTCCCTTATTTTCTAGAACAATAACTCTAGAACACCTGAAAGTTATTTTCATTTTTCTGTTTTCTATAACAATATTTTATTTTATATTTTTTAAAATACTTTTTGAAAACATGTTATCAAATAGATTTTTTTGTTCTTTTATTTTAAAAAATAGAAAACTATTCTCAGAATAGGTTGCAAACAAGCCCTTAGTTATCACACTATCTACTTATTCTCGATGAGGTAATGCTACTTATGCTCGTAAAGTATTGACGTCATTTAATTTTATTTTTATTTTACATTTTAATGAAAGAAATTATGAAAATTACTAATAAACTTTGTCAAGTATCGCAATAAAAATCTCAAGATACCTTAAGTGTTATGTGATATCTATCACAAAATTATTTATTGAAAAATTAAAATATTATGATTAAGAAGGTTTTATAGAAAAAGTTACTTATTTTTGGAAGAGCCAAGTTATTGAAATTTCTATGAATTTTTTACTTTATAGTTTGGCTATTTGAAAAAAAAAATAAATTTAATATGTTAATATTTGAGGATATTTTATCAATATTTAAAAATTTAATATAAAAATTTGCTAGAATAAAACTAACAGCGTTAGAGTTAAAGAATGAAAAAGATACTTTATAAAATTAAAAAATTAAAATAAAATATTATATAAAGTTAAATTATTAAATATATATTTTAATTTTATAATTTTGGCCCCGTTAATAAAAATTTATGGCTACACCCCTGATCACAAGGCTGCTAGAGGGAAAAGACGTTGAAGAAGAAGGAAAAGGAAGAAGAATAATACGTGGCCTTTGCAAGACAACCTCTCAGATTCTACACAGAAGTAAGTGATTTTCTTACTAGCCAAAAGGCCTTCACTGAAAATTAATTTTTATTGTTGATCTAAAAAGAGTGCGTGCCATGCCAACAAGTATTTTCTTCCCTAACCACGTGAACGCAAATCACCTCCGAATCTTACATTAGCATATTCCCAATATTTTTGTGATGAGTGGCAAAGTAAGGATCTTGAGTTTAGGGGATTCTCGATACAATAAAAAAAAAACACACATTTTCACCTCTTCTAAATATATTATTTCTCTTTTTTTTATTTTTTAATTTAACTTTCAGTTGTAAACTTGTAAGTGCAGCAGGTTAACAAAAAGCATTCAATGAATTAACTCAAATATTAAATCTTCATTTTTTATTATCTTTTTTTAATTAGTTCCTAACTAGTATTTAGGACGGGGATAATGAGGGTTTTATTTAGTCAAATTAATTTATTTTAAATTGTTAAAGGATTAATAAATATATTAGTATTAAAATATTGTGAAATTATGAGCTAATGCTTGCTATGCTTTAAATTAAAAAATTAAATTTTAAATTTGGGTTGAAAAAAGAATGAAATAAATTTAAAATTTAAAATATTAAAATAAGGGATGTAAAGTATTAAAAAAAAAAAAGAGTGCAAACTACAAAATATGAAAGCTCACGCTCCCATACCTATCATTTTTCCCATGTGATGGCTCAGCTGCAGTTTGCAACTACAATAGTCGGTATAATTTGTCTTGAATTTGTTGGAAATTCTGGATGGTTTTCAAAGATTCAAAAAATAAATATTTTTTTTTTTTTGAAGTCAAGATTCTAAGAGGTTCAACCCTTCTGTAATGCTCCAGCCTTCGAATTACTTGTAATGAAAATTGTTCCCATTTGTGTCTTTTCGCCAACAGGGCTGCAGGTTTCCTTTAGAGTGGATGCGGAAGTGATATATGAAATTCCATCTCTTCTAATATATCATTATTTTAATATCAATATATTTTTATATAAAAATTGTAGAAACTTATAAATTTTGCTACTGATTTCAAGTAGTGTTAAAGAATTCATAATCTACTTTGTTGAAAATTTCATTCCCATAAATTGGCTCATATGTTTTGAATTGAACATTCATGATGCAAGCCTAGTGTAAGTATTAAAAAAATAAAATAAAACAAGTAATTAAATTAATAAATTATTGGTTCCGAGTTTATTGGCTCAATTGTAATTGTGATAATTTTCTAATTTAGTATTCAAATCTAAAGAAGTTAATATTTATTCATAACACGCATTAGAACTTATAATAGCCAACGAATAATTTGTCATCATAATGTTGATTGAGTAAATATATAATGTTAAGTATATAAGTTTTTTTCTTTTAAATATATTTCTCCTATTTTAAAGGTAAGAGCTAGTTAATTAATTCATATAAATTACAAAATAGATAAAATAGTTATTTTCCAAAAAAAAATATCCGTTCGTAAACTACCCCATTTTAATAATTTACATTGAAAACTACATTTATGTGCACAATTAATAGGAATAATTTTGAAAATTAATAAATAAGAGAAATAAAGGATATTAAAGTCTTAAATTTAAAACCAAAACAAATTCTCCAACTAGTTTTTACATTTAAAATCAGAAGAATTAGTAATTTCATTTTAGTGCATTAACTTTATTTACACTCATGACTCAGTGTTAAAAATCATGGGATCATTTTCTATTTTAACACATGCTATGATTTTTACTATTTCCTTAATTTCAATTAAGATGCAAAGTCATTTTCAAGTTAAATTTTTTAATTAATAATATATATTATTATTGTTATTATTATTATTTATCTTAAATCCATGCAAATGGAGAGAAGCAGATCCTGCCCCCGTTTGTTACATTGATATTAGGATATTACAGGTTGAAACAAGTCCACCAAAAATCTTTAATCCAAAACAAACCAATAAATCAAGGCCACGTTATCACCAAAATCTCCAGACATTCAATCTCATCCTCACAAAGCATCCTCATCCTCCCACCCGCATTTAATAATTTCTCTTCACACTTCTCACATAATCCTACCCCAACCAAACCCACACGATCCAAGTTTTCACCGATCCTTCCCCAACAATGGCTGCTTCCTCCATGATCTCCTCTCCCACCTTTTCGCCGGCCGCCCAGCTCCGCCCCCTCACCCCGGCATCTAGCCCCTCCTCCCTTCGCTTCCACGGCCTCCGACCGCTTCCCGCCAGGGCAACCCCAATCAGCACTACTCAGAAAAGGACCGCGGCGGCGGCGCGTGGAGGATTGGCCGTTAAGGCCGAGTTGAATCCGTCGGTGGTGATCAGCCTGAGCACGGGGCTGTCGCTGTTCTTGGGGAGGTTCGTGTTCTTCAACTTCCAGAGAGAGAACGTGGCGAAGCAGGGCTTGCCGGAGCAGAACGGGATGACGCACTTTGAGGCCGGAGACACGAGGGCAAAGGAGTACGTGAGCTTGTTGAAGTCCAACGATCCCGTCGGATTCAACATCGTCGACGTCTTGGCTTGGGGCTCCATCGGCCACATCATCGCTTACTACATCTTGGCTACCACCAGCAACGGCTACGACCCCAAGTTCTTCGGCTGAACCCTAATTCGTTCCTATTTACCCTGTCTTTCTTAATTATCTCTAGCTGTATAGTTTCTTCTGTGATCTATCATTTTGTTCCAAAACTAGCTCTATCATCAATGAGAACAAATGATTCTCTCTGGATTTGTGATTTTCATTTTCATTTTTGAACGTTTTACTGCATTACTATAATATAATGTTCAAGTTGTGAGAAATGAAAATCATGTAGTCAAGCAAGCTTTGAATTGAGAATCTATCCCCTGATTAAAGAAATATTATTGGAGGAAAAAGAGTAGAAATTACTGGATATTGAGGGTAGGAGGGGAAAAAAAATCAAATTTGGTGAGTGTCGCAGGTCCAATATTCATACGTTGATTGTTTCACGTGTTTTTGTCGAGAGATCGTTGGTCTAATTGCACATCAACAGTGTAGAAATGTAAATACAAGATGTACAGATAACACTGAATCACACCTCTGCTTTCTGTTGTGCTTATTCATTGAGCCAATAATTCATATGAATCTAAATAAGTTAATGAAATGCATCCTTGTATAATTGCGTCATCTAACTCAACGGTTCATGTTTTTCTGTTCAAGTATGAATTTTTAAATATTGATGAAATCCTACAACTAAAATGTAAACATTCTCTAGATGAGAGGATTTATGACACTTGTAGTATCCATATCCGAAAATAGCTGAGTTTTGATTGATCTGGAGCAGTGAATTGAAGTGAATCAATAATCAATTCCATCGAACTAAAATATTTAGTTTAACTAAATGGAATCATTGAACTTTAATCAGGTATATGACCTAATTTTCTAAGTGCATGGACATATGACCTAATTTGTAGTTAGCTAGCTACTTTTATGCCCTACAAGTTGATTTCTAAGTGCAAGGACTTTGTAATGTGAACATCTCAAGTTCTCTCACAATGACAATTTTTATTTTTGGATATATTAATCATTCAATTATGCCTCAGATTTTTCCCTTGCGTTTGCAATTTTTACATTGAACTTAGTTGTCATCACCTATATTCTTGATCATACAAGAAGTCATCAGAATATTGTTTTTAAAGAAAATTACTCTCAAGCCCTATACAAAAAATCTAAATACAAAAAGTCCAATGAAATCACAATATTACTTTTAAGTTCCATGTTCTTTACTAAGCTATCAGGCCCGATTAGAAGTACACACAAAGCCTTAATAAAAAAACATTGTTTCTATAAAATTAAGTCTTTTTAGTCTGTACTTTTCGTCTTAGGATTCTGCTTTTTGGTATTTTATTGTTTCCTCATTTTGTGTGTGTGTTTTTTTTTTTAAACTGTTGTTTGCCATTTTTTTTTATACTAGATCGCCTAGTTTCATGAGATATTTTAGATTTATTGTTCACTCTAAATTAATTCAGACTCTTATGTTAGAGACTTTATGATAATTATGAGTTTTAATGGAGCGATTTCTTTAAAATCACCTTAATTATCTATTACTTTCTAAGGTTCAAACTTTCATCCTAAAAAATGCCCGTTATAGCCCTTTTCAACTTCATTGAGCGCATTTTGAGTTGAGTTGAGTTTTGGTTTGTGCTATTTGGGGCTTCAGCTCTTCGGCGTTTTTGTTGATTTATAGTTTGTTCGTTTGTGATCACCAAAAATTTCATATTCTTTGCTTTTGACCGAAACAAACAGATTTGACTAACGTGTTTTATTTTAATTTTTTCAATCTATTTTGTTTCATTCTTTTTTAATAACTAAGCAAGTACTTATAAATTATTTACTAATAAAATTTTTGTATCAGCAATGAGGTTTTAAATCATGACATCGAATACTATGAGCCACATCTTTAATTTGTAGATCAGCCTTTGTTGGCTAACTGTCACACTCAACTCGTGTCAGGCCAGAGCCTTGGCTCTAGTTCAAAAGTTTTTCTTTTTTGTTTTTTTTTTTTTGGTTGTTTCTAATTCAAAAGTTTAGACAGTCTAAAATGGATTGAGTGGAATTTGCTGGGGAGGAAAAAAAAAAAAAAAGGAATGGACTGAGTGCAATTTGAAGTATGTAGTCGAGCTTTGCAAAAGCTGAGATATATATTTCAACCCTGTTGGTTGGTTCTCTCCAAAATATCTCTTACTTTTTTTATTTAAAAATATAAAATATTTTTAATTAAATTTTATCTTCAATAAAACAGTTATCTACTTTTAAATTAACTTTATTTTTTATATTTATTTCTATTAAACACCTTACAATAAATATAAATTTATTTATTAATAAAAAAATTTTAAAAAAAATAATGATTATACCTCAAAAAATTTTTAAACGTTCAAATTTTTAATGAAGGAAGTATGTTCTTAAAAATATTTTATTTTATTTTATTCTTTTGTCCCATAAGCCAATTTTGCCAAGACAAGAATCAGACCAATCAGATAATGTTACGTGTTGGGGTGTTCAGTCTGAACCCGTTCTAATTGGCCCGATATCATCCTGATTATATCGAGACAGGTCTTGTTCTTATCCAAAAATAATCGAGACGGAACTTTATGAGACAAGATAAGAAAAGAGTTTGGGACCGGACGGGACACGGGATTACTATCGGGACATCCCGTCCCGTCCCGTCCCGTCCCGTCCCGAATATTATATATATTATTTTTTATTTTAAATATATTAATTATATTAACATAATTTATACTTATATTAATTATATCAATTATAATTTAATACTTGCAATTCTTATTTAAAACTAAAGTTTTTTTATATTGATAATTTTAATGGTATTGAGTAAATATGACGATATCTTTCTTTATAATATATTAATTATATTAATATAATTTATTCTTATATCTATTTATTTAATAACTTTTATTTATAACGTATTTCTTGCTTTATTTTTTAGAAGAGTAATTAGCTTAGCACATCTTTACTAAATTAAAAGAACAATGATTTAATGTTATGTTTGACTTGCCTGTTGTTGCTAATCTTATAGTATAAAGATCACTTGTATTTGTTATTATAATGTGTAGTTGTGATTAATATAATTTAATAATTAATTTTAAATTATTGTTATTTATGTACTTTTGTTGATTTGATTTTAAACTTAATAAATTATATTATTTAAAATTTTAATAAATGTTATTATCTAAATCTTTTTTTGATATTATTTCATTTATCGGGATGGTGGGACGTCTCGATCTTATCCCGATCCTATCCTGACTCTTAACAAGATGGATGACTTTCGGGATGGAACGGGACACGAGACTAAAATTCAGTCCTAATCTTTTTTTTAGGACGAGACACGAGACAGGGGTGTCTCGATTCCGTCCCATCCCGTAAATATCTCTAGTTACGTGCATCGGTTCTCCAATAATGTTGTGTGGCTTGACAAAGTATTCTTAATTACCAACTCATGTGACAGAGTGACACTTTTATACCAAATATTCCTTATTCATAGGGGGGAAAAAGGTATTGCACTCATATTTTTTAATTTGGATCTTCTCAATTGATTAATATTAACCATTAGACTGTGATACAATGATAAAAATAATTAATGATTAAAGTCCTCAATTTATTTTTCTTAAGAAAAATTATATTCACCTTAAAGTTGTTAGATCACGATCTATCTGATGATTAATATCCTTTAATTTAGGCTCTTAGTTCAAATGACAGGATTCAAAGCCTATATTTTTATATACTTAAAATTGCATAATTTGCTCTTATAACATGGAGGATATTTCTAGTCCAAAAAAAAAAAAAAGATGGAGGTTATTTCTATTTTTAAAACACATAAATAAATAAATAAAACTTATATACTTAACTTTACATAGTTAAATTACTTGTTTTCAATTTAATTAAGACATACAAATTTTTTTATTTATTATTTATTTTACAGAAAACTTTTATTATTAACATTACCAACATATTAAAGTTCATTTATCTTGATTTTCTTGCATAAAAGTTTATTGAATATATAAAATTAAGCATATAAATTTAAGTTTAAGAAATAAAGGCTAAATTATACTTTTAGTCCTATAATTTTATAAAGTGTATTTTTAATCCTTTAACCCTAATATTTTTAATTTTAAATAATTATTTTTTGTGCCTATTATTGTTATTTTTAAAATATTAAACTTAATAAGTAAATATTTAAGAATGTTTTGTTAATATTTAAAAATGTAATGTAAAAATTTTTTCTGATGAAACTAATTATATTAAAATTCTAGAATTAAAAATACTCTTTTTATAATAAAGGGATTAAAATAAAATTTTGTATAAATTAATAAAACTAAAAATATACTTTAATAAAAAATAAACAATCACAGTGAGGGATGAATATCCTTTCCATTTTTCAATATATTAAAAAAATATATACAATAACTATATCTATTAAAGTCTTACACAATAACAATCACTTGAGAAGCCCTCACCAGCAATTTAAACAACTTTTATATTCTGCTTATTAATTAATTAATTAATTATTATATATAGTCCATACTTGTAGATAACATAAAATAATTTTTTCAAAAAAATTATGAGATTGAGAATCTTCTTCTCCTGGGCTTAGTGACGTCCACAGGCCCAGGCCCATCATCCAAGTGTAACGTATCCTTCGACCCCTGCTTGAATGGGTTGAGCTTACTCAACTTCTTGGACATGGAAGAGAAGAACGTCGGCTTCTTCGTCGTCGTGAGGCCTCCGGTACCGGACGACGACCCTCCCTGAACGTTCTTTTGCAAGTCCGTGATGTACATCTTCATCTTCGTCAGCTCCGATCTCAACTGTTCGTTCTCTCTCACCAACGTCACGTCCGTCTGCAGCTCCTGATTCTTCGCCTCGTGCGCCACGTTGTCCTCCGCCCCGCTCCTTAGCTTCAGCTGGTCGTAATACAGCGCGTGCAGCACGATCTGCACCGGTAGCCTCTTGTTCTGCGACGCATGCACGCGCGCCTCGTACGATAGTTTCAGAGGGTCCATCACGCTACACGCCTTCTCTCTCTCTATCTCATCCAAATTCGGATGTGCCTGTAAGAAGAAAAACGTTCAAGAGCTGGGTTAGGATACGAATACTGGTGGTGTTCAGTTTTAATGGATGTGTTTGGGAACGGGAATATCGTAATCCGTACCTTGAGGTAGATATCCACGGCGCGGTAGAGGTCGTCGTCGACTTTTCGTGCGCTCTTGGGGATGAGAACGGCAATGCCATTGAACTTGGAGATGGTGAGCTCTGCGTAGGTTGCGATCTCGCATAGGTAGGCATCGACTGTCTTGGCAATGCGCTGAGTTGCGGTTGAACAAACCTCCTTGAAGTTGCCGGTGTTGAAAACCGCTGTGCTCTTTTCCTTCTCGACGAACCCTGAGATGATCCTTCTGACGCTGTCCAAATCGAGTAGCCTCTCGCCGTCGTAGGTGAACGATAACACCAGGAGGTCGTCCACTGTGACGTGCTCGAGTATGTCGGAGATCCGCTTCTCGAGCTCCTTTTTGCAGCTGCTCGAGGCCTCCAGGAAGATCGCGCACCGGAGGAGGCAACAGAGGAATTTGATCGGGAAGGCTGCTTTCTCCGAGGGGAAGAGAGAGACAATGGATTGGAGAAGCTGGCGTTTTTCAGCCTGGGAATCGGAATCGGAATCGCCAAGATTTGCTGCCTTAACGCTCTCGCCGGAGTGATCTCGGACTAGCTCCCGGAGCGCACGCTCCGTGTAGCTAATCAACGCGCTGGCCAGAGTCAAGGCCTTCGCGCCACGCTGCTTCATGGCCGCGATCACTTTGCCAAAGAAATCGACGTCGAGGATGGCAAGCTCTTCTGTCCACCAGTTCGGTGGCGAACGGCTCGGAAAGTTAGCTTCGCTGCAAGCCTTGGAACCCACAGCCTCCACGCACCGTTGTACGATACCGAGTTCATCAGCAAATGGAAGAAGCCTCTGACAAGATTTGAGGACGAGAACGGCGCGGGAGAGGCTGGTTAAGGCGACCTGAGACAGAAACTCCTCCGTACGTCCGGCGAGATTGCCATCACAGTAGTTATCATTCATCTGGAGGAACTCGGCGGCGCAATGCAGAGCGGCGATGTTGTGAACGTTGATCTCAAAGTTCACGCCGTAACAGAACCTGGCAGCCTTCTCGAAGATCTCAGGCCCTCCAGGAATATCAGAAAGATCGATTCTGGTAAGATCACTTTCTTCAGACTCTATTATCAGCTTTCTGATGTAGTTGCTCTTCGCCACAAGCATAAACTGCTCCGTTATTATTAACAAATCAGAAAGACACAAACCCGTTTAGTTGGTTTAACGATTTACACGAGCAGAACCACACAAACAAAAACCAGTCCAAAATCACTAGGAACAAGCAATTTTCGTTACCTTGTGGAGAGAAAAATTTGCTTCTCCAATTTCAACAACAACATCTGTTGGCATATCTTGGGAGAAAACCCTGCAATAAGAAACCAAACCAATTCAATCCTCAGCTGTTCATTTTCTTTCGTACAAATTAGGAAGTAGATTGGGTATTTGATGGGTTAGCAAAGTACCAATTGCCAGTTCTTTCCATGGCAAGGGAATGACTGATGGAGTTGGGAACCGCCATGACTGATGTGTGGTTTGATTTTGGAGCTAGAGAGCCCAAGAAGGAGCGTAGAATAGTATAGGAAAAGGTAGGTTCCGATTTGGATTATAAAGAAATTGAGCACGATTTCATTATCTCCGTAGTTTCGAGGGTGGCCCCCCATGTGCTGTAGCTTTAGCTCATTTTTGTTATCTCAGTTACCTTTTCGGCAAAATGATTCTTCTTAAAGGGATATCCATGTCCTTGTCCCGCAAGTGGGGATTGTACTTCTGCCTAGTCTGCATCCTGACAAGTAGGAACTTATAATTCGATATTTCACAACATTGGCACCAATGGATTCCTCCGTATTGATTTAATCTTAGTTCCCTCTTTATCTCCCCATTTTTCACTTGTTGGTGCATGCATATCTTCATACTAGTTTGAAAATTGATCAAGTTTTGCCTTGTATATATTGTTTTGAATTTTCAATGACACACTTTTTACTCTATAAATATGAACGGCCTCATTATTTCTTCGATATAGATAACACGTTTATTGTTGGTAGCATAGGTAGCATCGTGTGAATGGAGAGGGTTTACTAGTAGACTACACGTTTCAAAAGATGGTAGAATTTTGTTTTCCCTCGATGAGGGAGAGCTACGAAAATATCTTGACCAAAATTTATTACAGTCCGCTCTCAAGAAAAAATATCCAAGATATATACTTCGACTGTAGACAATGTTGAAAGTGAAACTACAATAATATCATACACAACATGCATGAATGCAGTGGGTATTCTAGTTTAGAAATGTTACCATTTGGATATTTATGGTTTTTTTTTTCTTTTAGGAACTTACCTTGTTTGTCGTCTATAGATGAGATGAGATATTCTTCCACATGAACATTTAACTTAGCTTGTACATAGTGCGCATTTGGAATGATTATTTCCCTACATGTTTCCCCAATTAACGTGCTTGGTTGGTCCATCAACTTTTATCCTTGTCCCTTCATTTCAGTTGAATTTAACTTAATTCAATAATCTTATTTATACATTTTGTCATTTAATTTTGTTTGATTTTGTTGTTTTTAATGTTATTATATAAAATCATTTGAATTATCATTTAAAATGGAAATAGTCAATCAAAATCCAAAAAGTAAGACATCCAGTGACATTGACAAATTGTGACTAAATCTGAGATTAAAAACTTCTGAAAGAAGCGTTATAATTTAGAGTATATAGCATTGAATAATAAAATCATCCCCCAGGATATATTTTGATCAACACAGTAATCTCATTCCACAATCATAGTCAAAAGCATTAAATGTCCCTTAAATTAGAAGATGTAGATGATTTCGATGAATAAGTGATGACAAGAAAGAAAGCAGAAGGGTGAATGAATGTAGATGCAATGAATTGAATGAAATAATAATCCAGAAAGAGAACGTGAGTTGAAGCGTGGGGCTGGAGGGATGGGGACTCGTTCATGGTTTGGTTGCTGTGATGTCAGGACAAGTCTCAGCCACACAAAACGAGTGGTTCACAATTACACGTACCAGCTTCCCTCCTTGCGTGTACACGCAAACCTGAATTGGACGGAAAGAGGGGGGAAGAGGGTGTCTCCGTTCCTCTTCCCTCCGTTTCCCTTCGTTTCTCTTCCATCACCTTTGAATTAAACTTTTTTAATAATTTAAATTTAATTTTTTAAAAAAATTATTATTTTAATGTTATATAAAAATATATAAATAAAATATTATAACTTTAAATAATTTAAATTAAACTTTAATAATTTAAATTTATTTATACACCTTTTTATAAAATAAAATAATAATTTTATTAAAGCCTCAATTTGAACCATTAAATTTTTAATCCAAAGGTGATGGGAGAGAAATGGAAGGAAATGGAGGGAAGAGAAATGGAGACACCCTCTTCCCGAATTAGACCCATGTGACTGGGCGATATAATATTTATTTTTTTTAAAAAAATAAAAATAGAATCAGGTACGCACACATATATAATTTAATTATAGTTTTTTCCCTCTTAATCAAGGGTTAGAGTGAACCCATCCAAATTTGTAGTAGCCAATACCTTTTTGGTGGTATAGTGGCATGAAATCTCCCTGTATGTGAGTGAGGAGTCATAGTCGTGGATTTGATGCGGCTTGTAACTTTTTAAGTTATTGGTGTATAAGCTTTTGTAATTTTTTGTTTGTTGGGGGGGGGGGGGACTGACAATATTGACCCTTTCCTTGTTAAAACCTAAAATCTACCAACTTCTTTTAACTTAGGGATCAGATGTTAAAGGGTTAAATGGCAATTCCACCCTAATTATAAATTTAAAAATGTTTGAGATTTTAAATTTATTTTTTATTTAATATTTCTTTTTAACTTTTAAAATGGTGTAATGTGTAACAGTCACACCCCCTGAGCCCACTGCTGCGAGTGGTGGACTGGGCCGTGCTACCTCACGGCAACCAAGCCGGCTTTCCTCCTGGTAGTTCAGGAGTTATTCCCTACACCCACTGCGCTAAGGGAGCCTTCTCAGGTTCGATCCTCCAACCTCTCCTACATAGCAAAGTTGAGGCTGAACCTGGTACCATTGAGTCAACTTTATGTAACATTCACACCCCCCCAAGCCCACTGCTGCGAGTGGTGGACTGGGCCGTGCCACCTCACGGCAACCAAGCCGGCTTTCCTCCTGGTAGTTCAGGAGTTATTCCCCACACCCACTGCGCTAAGGGAGCCTTCCCAGGTTCGATCCTCTAACCTCTCCTACATAGCGAAATTGAGGCTGAACCTGGTACCACTCGGCTCGGGGGGGTGTGACTGTTACATAAAAGGCTGTTACATAACTCCTGAACTACCAGGAGGAAAGCCGGCTTGGTTGCCGTGAGGTGGCACGGCTCAGTCCAGCACTCGCAGAAGTGGGCTCGGGGGGTGTGACTGTTACATAATGTAACCTGGGACGAATTTATATTGAAAGAAATGGGGGCAGTTGCCCCACTGACATCATTAGCACTTCTTAATTATAAGGTGGGGGAAATTACCACTTGTCCCTTTTAAAATTACCACTTGCCCCTTTAAAGTATTGCTCAAGCATCATTTAAGTTTTTTTTTTAATTCAATCTTTTCTCCTAAATACTTTCTTAGTCATTCAATCAATGAAATTAATGTTATTTGTATTGTTAACTTTTAGGTGGTAGATTGGTTCATATAAGAAATTGTTTGGTTCATATTATTTATATAAATATATAAGATTATGTTAAAATTTATAGAATTCTCCTGAACTTTAATATAGTTACATATAACTCTTTAAAAATTAATCGCTTTAATTTTTTTTTCAAAGCTCCCATACTATTAATAACTTTATTATCTTATTAACAAATTTTGCCACATCAAATTAATGAGATATGCATATGGCACTTAACATTGAAAAATTATTTACTTATTTTTTAATACAACTCAAGAAAGAATCATATCAATAACAATTTATCCTTCCTTTGAAATGAGACAGGTATGCATCCATAATAATAAAAAAATATAGATAAAATTTTTATAAAGTTATTGTTAGCTTCTATAGGATGTCACATAAGGTGCTATATATTTTTTCTTAAAATGAATGACAACTTTTATGGGTAAAATAGCTAAGAAATATTAGTAGGGAGTCTGTGATTAAAAAAAAAAAGAGGTTATGATAGTTAATTTTTAAAGTTTTAAAGGTGAGAGGAGTTTTATTGTCTCAAAATTTAGGAAAATTTTATATATTCTAACAAAATAAAATAATAATAAAATATTTTTTCAACTTCTCAAATAAAATATTAATTTTTATTTTGTAAGCAATAATAATGTCAGGTTCTTCAATTGTTTATATTGAAAATATTAATTTTAAAAGAGTATGATTATTTTCATCAAAAAAGAGTATTAGCATAGGATATTAATATTTACTATTTATTCTATCATTTTCAACACAAATTTTGCTTATATTAAGATAATTTTATTTTTTAAGTTATTATAATTTTATAGTTTTCTATTGTTTCTTATGTATTTAATTTTAATGAATTTATTTCTATGATTTAAATAAATATTTATAATTATATTTAAAAATATTAATAGTTATTTATATATGTTTTGCCCCCAACAACAAAATTTCCTAGATCTATCACTAAATGTAACATTTACCGTTAATAAAAATTAACTTTGTTTGACAAAAAAAAATTAATTTTGACTATTGACTAATTATAAAATAAAAAATACTGAAAAATTATAGAAAAGACTCAAAAAATTACAAACAATGACTCAAAAGATTACAAAAAATGATCTAAAAAATTTTCTCAATCATTTACTGTAATTTTTTAGGTTAATTAATTGTCAAAGTTAATTCTTATTAATAAGTGTGGGTACATTGTATTGTTTTCTAATGTTGAGAAGTAACATGGTACAAAAAAAATGGATTTAGGGGTCAAATTGCTAGTCGATCTTTATAAGACATCGTCCGACAATTTTGTCATACAAATGTTATCTTGAGTAATTATAAATTATCGCAACTACAACTTTTTCAATCAATTTGCCTAAATAATTCCAAGGCCCTCAAGGATTCTGTTCATTTATTTCGATACTAATTGCATGGCCAAGCTTTTTTTAAGAAACCTTTTTATGCAACTTTCGTGAAGGTCATAAATCAAACTGCCACATGAAGCTTCTTCTTGTTGATTGACGGAGTCATCATCAACTGGTCAAATTTAATTGTTTAGTTAGAGGTTAATAGTTAAACCACTTCATGCTTCCTGTAGTTAAAAATAGTGCAAATGTCTTTTTATACTCTTAGCCAACGTGACTTGTAGTTTTTATAACTTGAATAGATATAGAGATAATTTTTGGATACGAGACTTGAAATTTCACTCTAAAAAAAGGGAAAAAAAAGTGTCCCTAAGTTGGCTATTAGTGCTCTCATGCAAAACAATCAGTTAAGAGTGTTTATCGGATAAATCCAAATCATCTTTTGATTCTTCTTGTTTGTTTTTTAAAGAAATGTGTGGCAATTTTCTGTGTGTGTTAAGAGGATCCAAGATTGAGATGGATTTGCCAAGTCATGAATCTGAGAGGTGATCGGCTATAGAAACGCCAGCACGGAGAGAGACGGATGTCTTACCGTTTTTGGCACCATCCAATCATAATGTTGGGAAATCTTGACGAACAAATACCCAATCACGGCTCCCTGT